ATTGTAAATTACACACTATGTTAAATGTCCCCCATGTGGTGCCTTACCTGTGATTGAATTGTTCTGGCCTCAAATTACAACAGTGTTTTCTCTATGAATAAGTGATCGAAAGTTCCATAGATTTTCTCTGCACTGGTGAATGCAGAAAGCACAGGTGCGCTCACACTGGAATTCTGGATATATTTTTAAGATTATGTCAAAGAGGACTGTCAACAGTTTTAAGTCTGTAAACCAAGTCATACATATTTTTTTTTACTAAACTTTGTGTAAAAACATGTTAAAGAAAGAAACACAAAAATTAATACTAGAAAAATCACTATGTTCTGATGAACTTACACTGTACCCTGAGGTGGCTGAGTTACAATTCTTTTCAAATAATTTTCAAAGGAAGTGTGGCTTTTCTGATTATACTGCTTCCTATAAGCAGAAAAGAAGCGATCGTGTTTTACACCTGCAACTATCAAGCCTACCAGAGCTTCATTGTGTTGGAGGCATGGACTATAGCTAGAAACCATTAAACACTGATAAAATTTCAAATTGTAGATTCTCCTTCCTATAAACAGACCTCTAATAATGAACCACATGGCAACTACAGAATCTGACTGTCTGTATAAAATAAATCAAAACAGAAACAATGTCATATGGAGGTTTAGTACCAAAATAGTATCAAAATCCAAGCATTCAAATTTTGCTATTTTGCAAGAATACATGCAGTTTGAAAGGGTGACACTGGAATGCATACCTGGAACTGCAGCACTCAGGAGATTAGGCCCCGAGTGCATATACCTTTTCCCAGCATTCACGGAAAGGTTGGGACCAGGCTGGTATAGATAGGGAGTTCCAAGCCAGTTGGGCTATATACCAAGATTGGAGACATGGTGTGCACATTTCTCAAAAGTCTTTAAATGGCCTCAGTGAGTAAAGATGTCTCAGTGATAAAGCATTCACTACTCAGGCTGGTGACCTAAGCTCAAGCCACAGAACCTAGATGGTGGACAGAGAGAAATGACTCCTGAAATGTGTCCTTGGGCTCTCACACATGCATTGTGGCATATGTGTCCACACACATATGCAATACATATATGAACACATACATAAAATAAATTAAAGTGTAATAAAATGTTTTCAAATTGTATACTCAAGCCTTCTCCATTTAGTGGTTTACAAATTGCATCCTAATTAACCATTAGACCAACGCAGCTACCTAAACTTAATAGAAAGGAAAGAAAGAAAGAAAGAAAGAAAGAAAGAAAGAAAGAAAGAAAGAAAGAAAGAAAGAAAGAAAGAAAGAAAACTATGTTGGTGTTATTTGCTAGAGCTTCGTACAGTCACTTTAAATCTTTTTTCTGCTCTTACTTCAACTGCCATTTGATCACTGGCTCTGGTCCTCAGGGAGTGTGTGAAGAAGCAACTGAGCCAATGCTGTCTGGTCTTTTCGCACACCTTGTCCCTCAGCACCAGGGTTCAAAATAGGTTTCAAAGGGTACATCCATATCAAGAGGATAATATAAAAGTTCTAGCTTTTCCGTGGCTAAAAGGAGTTTTCTTTTCTTCTCTCACCAGGGGAAAACCTTTGCCTTAAGCAAGCTCCCCGTGGCAAACTTCTTTGAAAAACAAACTCTGAAGTGCATTCAAACTTGTCTCCAGTTCCTCTGAGCTAAAGAGTTTAAAGGAGTGGTTGGGACATTTCCCAGCACTGCTGTGTCACCTTTGGGAGGCTACCTTAGCCTACAAGACACCCAGACAGATTCCCAGAGGACTTTGTGTCTTCATGAAAACAGCTGTACAGAGATTCCAAATGGAAGTTCTCTCTCAGGGGTAAGTCTTCCACGAACTCAAAATCAGCTCACCCCTCAAAGCCTTCGTAAAGCTATACTTAAACTTTGCTAGATTTCGTTCAATATGCAAATGAAATTTTCACAGAACTAGTAAGTTCATCAATAAAGTCAATAAGAGATTTCATATAATAATTCCAAGAAAGAACTCTGTGTCCGTACAACCCAATCCATGAGTGAGACACTGGGGAGGATCCACGAATGAGACAGTGGGAGGAGGGCTCGTTAATGAGAGAGTGAGGAGAAGCACTCACTAGTTGAATGAGGAGGACCCACTAGTGAGACAGTGGCTTCCAGATAGATACCAGCACTCAGGAGGCCTCCTTTCTCCTTTACCCTAATCTCATTTTAATTTGTAGTTTTCAATAAATGTTACTCACTCTGCTGTTTAAAACTATTTCCCAAATCACTAAAGCACAAGCCCCAGCAAAAGCTTTACAGAGAACCAGTCAATTTCTTGTGACTTAGTGATGGTCATTCATGAAGATCAAAGACTTCCTCTTTACACTTTGCATTGCCACCCTTACACAATAAGGTTAAATATTTAAGGTTGAAAGTCAATTAAATATTGCCAGTTGTGTTAGTCAGTTTTCATTCCAGTTACAAAACTGTATGGCCAAAAGTGAGGTATGGGAGAGAAAAATGATTTTTCCAGCATGTCTGCATGTCAGCGTGGGGACTGGGACAGGTAGCTGAGCAGTCACATATTCAATCACAAACAGGAAGCAGCGAGAGCAAGGTGATACGTGCTCAAAGCCTTTCCCTTGGTGACATACTTCCTCCGGCAAGTTCAAGTTCCCATAAGCACCCCACAGTGCCACCAACCTGGGACTAGGTGTTCAAATACGTGAGCTTGTGAGGGCACTCCTCGTTCAAGTCACCACACCTATGTGTAAAATGTTGTCATACCAAAATAATATTAAAAATCTCAATCCAGACTCCATGCTCTTAAGTTAGACATGCCAATCTAGACTCTATGTTATTAAGTTAATCAGAATACAGTTTGTATACTGGGGAAGATACGGACTCAAAACCTAGCTCAAAAGCCTGGCTTAAATCTGACGAATAATGTGATCCCAAGTGAGCTTTTAAGACTCAGATTCACTACATATAAAACCATGAAAAATAATGCCAATGCTGCCTTCAGGGGAGCAAACGAGCTTCAGTGAATGAAATGCCTAATTGTGTGATAGCTCCTGTAATCAATGGGCAGTCCATATAGATATGTCCATTATATTGTAGTTTAAAGTATGAATGGGAAAAAAGTTACACTGACATCAAAATTATTTGGCTTGGTCCTTGACCCCTGTGGCTAGAGTTAATAAATTGTGATTAAGTAATTTTAAATCAACGTAATCATATAAGAATTATTTCTTGAGCTCAACTTGCGGCAAGTGACAAGTTTCAGAGCGAACACAGAATTCAGTCCTTGGCACAGGCATTTCACAGGAAATTGTCAGTGACACACACAAACCTCTCTATGGCTAGTCCACTTTCCCTTCTTCTGCAGTGTCCAAACACCCTGGGAAAAACCAACCAAGGGGAGGAAAGGGTTATTTGGCTTTCAGTTCCCAGATGCAGACCACCACTGAGGGCAAGTCAAGGGAAGATCTTGGCGGCGAATCACATCACATCCACTTATCAAAAGCAGGTGATGTCTATACACACACGCAGTGTGCTTCCTGCTCGTGCCCAACCAGCTTTCTTCATTCTGTGCGGTTCAGAGTGCAGCCAAGGAAGCAGGTGTACTCCCATTCTAAGTGGGTCTTCACACTTCAAATAAACATCCCCCCTTAAAAAAAATAAAATGTCTACAAGCCAACCTGATCTAGGCAATGCCCCATTCAGGCTCTCCTCCCAAAGTGTTTTCAGGTTACAGCAAACTGACTTTTTAAAGTATCCAGGTCAATAGTCAAGTGAATTCTGGTTAGCAGTCTAGGAGGTGTTGTAAAAACAAAGACAAGGTAGACAAGGTAGACCTCGGTGAGAACTAGCGAGGACATTCCTCTTGCAGGAATGACATGCCAACAGAGATGCTGAGAAAGAGAGAGGTGGAGGAGAAAAGGCCATCCTGGAGCCCTGTGCGTGAAAGGGATGAAGACTTGTGTAAGCAGGGCAGGTTCAAAACTGCCTTTGGTGGGGCGGGCTGGGCACAGCCTTACTCCAAAAGCATGCAGAGAATTCTATATTTGCACAACTCCCCCGTGTTGTCAATTGAGTCCACTGTGAAGCAGGTCATTGTTGGCCTTTTCTTCACTGAGGCAGGAGAAAAATTGTCTTCAAAACAACAAGATGTGGAATTAACACTCACACCCAGGCCATAGTTCTCATTCCTTAAACCTCACTCTTAAGCATGCTCCTAAGTATTATTCTCCATTTAAGGTTCACCTTTTAAAACAGACATCCATGACCTGCTTCCAGCTTCATGGAAAACATTTGATCGGAGCCAACAATCTAAGATTCAAGCCCTACCTGTACAATTAACTAGCTGCAAAACAGAAAGGCTCAATCGGAGAAGTCCTCAACTAACTGTGAAGCCCGTGGCCACTAGGAGTAAATTGCTGCCTGGGATGATTTTCTCTGCATTTTAAACTTCGAAGGCACAGCAGGAGGGGTGGGAAATGCACACAGGCAAAACTGTGAGTCAGTAGGACTGCCTTCTCCACTGTAAAGACAGAACTCAAGAATGACAGGAAGGGTATGTTCCATTGCTCTGTCTGGTAAAATAAGAATCAGGTTGAATTTGGGAGTGGGCTTCCTGGTTATTTTCCTGTCTTGTCCCTTTTAGCTGCAGTAGAAAGGTCCCTGTAGGGGCTTGACGATGACACTTCAGTACAGAAGGAGAGAGAGAACATCTACACTGTCATGGTCCTTTGCCTGGGAAGAAAGGATCCTGCCCTTCATGTTGAGTTGAGACCTGAAGGCAACACAAAAAGCGAAAGGCAACTCCCCCAAACCAACCGGATTTCTGGTGTCACTGCATTTCTGTGAGAAGTCAGAGCATTCAGAATCCTGCCCTAGTCTCCAGCTCCCAGAGTGTCATTGGATGTGGTAGGTTCTTGGCTGGATGGCAAACAGCTTCCTGTGGGACACAACTCTGAGCTAGGACTGCCCCTCCCAGAGGGCAGCTGGGGCTGACACTGTCCAGGCATTGCCCAGGGGAAAGGGTTGTGGCAAGGTCGCTCAGAAAACGCGGGAGGAGTCTGGTGGTGATTGATGCTGGGGACAGGACGAATGAATAAAAGTGCTTGTCTGGGGACAGCAGAGACCCCGAGCTAGCTGCTGAGCATCCGCACTGTGGCATTCTCTCAGCCTTCCGTCAGAGCCAGAGCTGCGTTCTGTTGAAGGAGGAGGGCCAGGGAGCAGCTGGACTCCTGCTGCGAGCGGCAAGCCCCCCAGGGCAGTTCAACCACCCGCGGAGGGGGCTCCCGGCTCGGCTCCTGCTGCCTCCAGGTAACGAACCATTCTGGTTAAGGGTTGAATTAACGTCTGTGACTTCACCTTGCTCTGGGGCTTCGCGCTTGGCTTAATAGTTCGGGGGGGGGGGGGGGGAACTTACTCGTAACAGTGATTTAAACTGAGATTGGGTTGCAAAGCGACTACGTGTTTGAATTCACCCGGAGAGCACAGAAGCTGATGCTGGTATTCTCAAGGCTCTTGCCCAGGGCTTTGACGCTTGCCCTTGGCCTCTAGGTGCCTTCTTTCCGGGTCCCCACGCTTCGCTAAAGCGGTCTTGCTTCTTGCCGGCAAACGTTTAAGTGTTCTTTTCCTGGGACACCCAGCCTTCCCGTCTGTCTGGAACACCCCTGCCGGAATGCTCCGCCCCACTGGTCTACCGCAGGGCTCGGAGCTGGGGATTAAAACCCAGAGAGCAGGGTCAGGCGGGAGAGCGACTGCGACTGCGGGCGAGCCGGTGGCGCGCGCCCAAGTTCCCCATTGGCGCGCGAACCAAAGTTACTGTTCCACGCGGGTAGCGGCGTGAGTGTCTGCAGAGGCGTGGCTGGGGTGGCTGACAAAAGTGCCCTGTCTTCATTCCCCTGTCGGTCTCCAGGCTGACAAGAGCGGAGCCGCTGCTGGACTCTTCCCCGGAGCAAGCTGCAACATGCAGCCGCCAGCAAGCCGGTGCGGACGTGCCTTGGTGGCTCTGCTGCTGGCCTGTGGCGTGTTGGGGGCTTGGGGAGAGGAAAAAGCATTCCAACCTGCCCAAGCCACAGCGTCTCTTCTCGGGACTGAAGAGGTTCTGCCGCCACCCACTAAGACCTCCTGGACAAGAGGTTCCAACTCCAGTCTGATGCGTTCCTCAGCACCTGCCGAGGTGACCAAGGGAGGGAGGATGGCTGGAGCCCCGCCAAGATCCTTCCCCCCTCCGTGCCAACGAAGTATTGAGATCAGCAAGACTTTTAAGTACATCAACACGGTTGTGTCCTGCCTCGTCTTCGTGCTAGGCATCATTGGGAACTCCACGCTGCTGAGAATCATCTACAAGAACAAGTGCATGCGAAACGGTCCCAATATCTTGATCGCCAGTCTGGCTCTGGGAGACCTTCTACACATCGTCATTGACATCCCCATCAGTGTCTACAAGGTAACGCGCGCCCCTGACAATGATCTGGCGAGCTGGGAGCGAGGCGGGTGGGGGTGGTAAGTGGAACCCCCATGGGGGCGTTGGAGGGGCTCTTCCTCTAGGAGACTGCTACTCTCCTAACAGTGAGGATTACACCAGAGCTGCTTCTAGGTTTTCTTAGCTTCTGACAAGTGTGGCTGTCTGAGCAGCGACATTGTTATCACCAGAAACCTGTTACGAAAGGAATAGGGTTCCACAACCCAGGCACCCGAATTAAAGGCTCTGCGGAAGATGATGGAAGTCATATATTTTAAAAATCCCTTCTACGTAACTATGATGAAATTTAACGTTTGAGAATTACAAGTCCCAAAGTCAGTTTTTCTAGGTACAACCTCCTGAAAATATGGTCCCCAAACTAGGAGTTGGGGACCTGCTCACCTGGGAAGTTGTTAGATATAAAATGTGAATCCTTGCTGCGAGTGGCCTGAGGTACTGTTCATGGAATTAATGTCCTGGTCCAAGTACTCAGTTATCCACATTACTTCCTCTATCCAACAACCTGCAAGTTGATATTATGGCCATTTCACACATGACCAATAGGATCTTCAAAGGCCCTCTATGAGTTACAGGTGGAGCTCAGACTCCAGTATGTCAGACTCCCAGACTCAACCCTCATGGCATCATCACTGATATTTCGTGGTAATGCATGGAACACGGGCAAGACAGTGGAGGACTCTGTAATAAAGTCCGTGAAAGCTTCAGTGGTTCGCATTACTGTGATTTCCAGTGTTACCAGAAGAAATGGGCTCAGAGAACAAGGCAGCACACAAACAGCCACACTGTTGACTCCAGGCGCTTTGAGAAGTTAGGACGCGTCCTGGCACCTGTGGGTCTCATTTTCTTCCATTTCCCAATGAAGTGTCTAGGGCCGGAGAGGGAATTTGTGATGGTAACAAATACAGAGCGAGTGAAAAGAAACATTTAGAGTTGTGCTAGTGGGTAGCACCGCGTCTCATTATCGGCAATAGAAAATCCCATAGAAACACAACCAAAGTGTAAAGAAATGAGAGTGTGCTTTGTGGACTTGCTAAAGGCCAATCTTGGCAAGGAGATGGGATGGTGTTAGTTTGGGGAAGGTAGTGCAGAGTGCTGCTGCCTAAACGGCTGAGTGGTCACCATAAGGAGCCCTTGACATTTCCCTTCACTGGTCCCTGGGAATCCTGATCTCAGGAGCCACATTTTAAGGGAATTCCAGACATTTCTGAGGCTTAGAGATGGGACATAGATTAGGATTCAGACCCTAGAGGGAAGCGCTACCAGAAACACAGAAGAAATGCTAAAACATGAGATAGCAGTTGCTTTTGATGACCTCCAAGGCTTGGCCTGGAGACATACAGGCTGAAAATTTTCTTAATTATGGTCACAACTGTGGTGGGATCAGAAGTGACCCACTTTTTATAGAGTGGCGAGTTAGGTCTCTCTAAGGGGGCTTGGCCAGCTTTTCAATTCAACTCTTGCTAACTGAACTCAGCAGTTTGAAGGTAGAAAGTGTGAGAAATTTAAAAATAGCTGAAATCAAGATTCAAGTTGATGGGTGCTCTGTTGGGGCAGCATTGGTTGATCCACACATTTAACCAAGTTAGTCACCTCCCTGCATCAGCCAGCCACCGAACCGTTGTGTGGATGGCAAACTTGAAGACCGTTTCTTCCCTTGGATGCATGTAGACCAGACATAAATTGACTCTTTCTGGACCGCTGTACTTTCTGCCAGTCAAATGACTATTTTGATGAACCAGAGAATATCTGACTGGGCATGAAGGTTTACTTTCAAGTTCCTCTTGAAAGTTCCTTATTTCCTTGGGAAGTTATATCCTTTACCCTGAAGCTATTCAATGTACTAAAGAATACTTCTGAAACACACTGATGAGTCATTACAAACCTAGCCACTTAATCATCTAAATCTGTCTAAACCAAATCCAAGTCATCACTTACGTCCCACAGCTATGAGTGTCAACATGAACTCCTGCAAATCCTACTGTTTTGCCTCTGGTTTAGTCTGAGGCTGTAACAGTGGACTTTTTTTTTTTTTTGTTAGCCACTATGCACTCATTTTATTTCATTAAGTTACTCAGATGACATTACAAAGAATGTATTGCTATCACCCTTGATTTAAGTCATTAAGGAGATGAAAAGGTTATTTGCCCACACCATTAGAAAGTAATTACTCTTGACTTGAACCCAGCATATCTGGTCCTAGAATCTGTAACCTTCCCTGTCACAGTTGGTCATGAATGCTAAGGCACATCATGTCCTCCTCCAGCCTCCTAAGCTTCGTCAGGACCTCGGCTTGAGTGCTTAGGAAGAATTGCGACTCATGGTCACATAGTAAAGACACACAAACATTTTCAGAATTTGAAATGTCAGAATTGTAGTGTGAGGGTCCTCTTCAGATGGTCTGTAATAGTCAGCATAGTGGATGCCATTCTAAAGACTGTTTACCACTATACCTAAGTGGAAAGTCATTTTATTCATGTAAATAATTGTGGCAGCATATACCTTTCAAAAATATGTCTTTTAGAGTTTTGGAACATTGGGCAATATACTTCCCAAAGAATAATATTAGTGAGTTGTGATTGCTGTTTTAAATGTCTTCTAAAGTAGCGCTTTGGACTAAGCAAGTAAATCTCTAATTTTCTGACAGGCTGTTACACCTGTCCTTGGAAATCCAATATATGCAATTTCTGGGAACTTGGTGTCCTTCATCTCTTCTATTGATATGCCCTAGAAGCTCAGAAGTGTCCTTTTGAATCTATTACACACATCTGAAGGTCAATAAATAGCGAGTTCAGTAATGCTGACAAATCACAGAGTGTCCATCCTTCAAGTCTCTCTAAAATACAGGCAGGGTTTTGAGTGAGGTCCTGCTTGCCAGCAGCTGAAAACCTTGAGAAACTTGCCTGCCCTCCCCTGCCTTGCTCTGCCCTGTTTTGCAATGCTTCTTTTCAGTATCTGGATTCCTAGAAACTTTCTGCCTGAGCTATTCTGCTCTGTGGTGTCCTGTATCAAGAGGCCTGGGAAGAGTCTTGGGACACTGAGAAAGCTGCAGATAGAGAACACTTCAAACACTCATGTAAATTATGTGTGAAACAATAAGCCCTTTGAACACTCCCCATTGAGATGCATGGGCTGTGCTTACATTGCTGCACATGAAACAGCTGAAAACAGGGACCATCCAATCATCCACCATGTGTATTTTGAAATGACACAGGAAACAATACAAGACCTCATATGAATTTGTAGATAAGTAGACAGATACCATCTGGCCCTGGTCCTAGTGCATAGTAAGCAAATAATAAAAACTATCAGAATGTTTGTGTTTCTATATTGGAATAAGAAAGGAAGTTGATTTTTGGAGTGGTTTTCTTCAGCTTTTGTCTTTACAAACACAACTACAAGCATCATAATTCGTTGACACACACGTGTGTTTGCACACACATACGTGCATAACTGCTTCTGAGGCTGCAATTGCTAAGTCAAAGAGTTTTATATACTTGCAATTTTGGTAGATATTGTCACATTGTTATTACCATATGCATTTCTTATCATCTGTGATATGTTCGTGAGTTACCATCTCCTTGATTACATGGTGTGTAAACTATGTAAACTAAAAGCTACTGTTCAAATACCCAACATAAGGCTTAATCTTTCCTTATCCACAAGCCACTTACTCTGCACTTCTTACACTAAAATGATGGTGGCATCTCTTTGTTGCATCTAAGAACCTACTGTTTGATTAATGAGTTATGGTAGGCCAGGTATCTAAGCTATGCAGAAAGCAAAAGAGTTGAGAATACTTCTCGATGCCAAAGTGCTTTAATATTACTGGTTGGCTGGCTCAGTGCTCTGATTTCGTTTGGCTTAACAGTGATTTTTTTTTTATAGATTGATGGCTGACTGGGGATATGCTTTAAGTGCTTGAGAAAATAATAAGCTTTTGAATTAATTCTGTATCTTACTTAAAAACATGATTCTCAGCCGGGTGGGGTGGCACACATCTGTAATTCCAGCACTTGAGGAGGCAGAGGCAGGTGGATCTCTATGATTTTGAGGCCAGCTTGGTCTATAAAGCAAGTCCAGGACAGCCAAGGCTACACAGAGAAACCCTGTCTCGAAACACACACACACACACATATATATATATATATGTATATATACATGTATATATTTCTCTTTTTGTTGTGTGTACAAGAATAAACTGGATGTATATAATTCTCAAATAATAGCTTGCTTTTCATGTAAGCAACTTGAACTTATAAAATCTGCTTCTAAACTAGAAGGCAGATTGGATTTCCACACTAGCTACTGCGATAAGGATCTAAATGTAATCTGTGTCCAACAGTGGTCAAGAGCTGAAAGTTAACCTTGAAACATGCTGGAGCACTCTCAGATTGTCTTGCTGTTAAGACTGTTTGCCGCCATAGGAGAGTGAGAACTACGGAGGTCTACTCCTGACAGGCAACATTTCTGATCTTTAACATGTAACCAGTTAAGCAGAAGCACACATATGGGTAAAATTCTCCCCTGACAAAATGGGGGAGTGCTTCGCTGAACCCCAAATGAGTTTTGAATGAGAAGTCTTGGCAGGCAGGCAGGAATTTTCTGTTTGTGACACTATCAATTATCATTATGAACAAATTCACTTTTCTCGATTCCCTACATAGGTCCCTTGTGGTTCTTAACAACTGTGAGTTAACTGGAATAATTGGAAAAGTAAACATTGAGGGGCCAGCACCGCAGCAGGCTTTTGAAGTGACAGTTACTTTCTCTGTAAAGCTGCAGTATATGTACACACAGAGAGCTCAGCATCCCCGAGAGGAGAGTATCTTCCTCCAAATTTAATAACAATGCTCTCAGTACATGTCTTGTAACTGAGCTATGTCAGTTACATCCTAGCCACAATTAAATATGCTGTTTGGCAGAAGCATTTTGTGTCAAAAATGAAATCAAGCTTATCTTTGAGA